CCTAGCTTGAGGTATGTTATTCATACCATACTACACTTGCAATCCAAGAACTAAGAGGGAAATCTGAGTTCATTAGAGATAACATGACCCCAGTTTCTTAAAAATGTGGAACTCTGTTATTTCTGAAATTATCCTAAACGCGTAGTGTTTGTTCAGACTAAATGGAGATTAAGCTCACACAGACAAATTAAACCTGTATGTGCTTTGTTGTTTTGCAGAGTGAAATCAAGAGACTTCGTCCTAAGAAAGTAGTCTTTATTATTTAGTTGTTCTGTTTTTCATTTTTTCTTTATTCTTCCGGTGGTGCATTTGGTGGGAGGTTTGGAGGTCTGGACTAGATCCTTGTACAATAATGTAGGAGATTTGCATGATTACAAGATTGGTAAACATAACTTGAGCATCAGGCTACAACATTTCATGTTCCAATATAGTTGCTTATCTAGTTTTTGGAATACTAGTTAGAAGTTCATTAGTACATGTTATGTTGATCTTCTCCTACATGGGGTTTTCTGTGAATAGCTATGTTGCTCAGACTCTCAAAACATGCCGTCGGGTTCATGTCGGATCGTCCAAAAGTAATGTATTTTTTAAGAATCCGATACGGGTACGGCAACTTTTTGGAGATTTCTCACAATATAGGACTGAATAGCCCACTAGAAATTCATTTCTCTTTGCCTCTTGGGCTTTGGTCTAAGGGGAAGAGCGTAACAAGTGATGTATGGATTAGCCACACGTCACGATTTCAAACGGTGCTTATTATTTAAGTGAAGAAGAGTTGAGGTACTCATTATTGACTGGTTTCAAACGGTGCGCCATTGACCATCTCAGTTATGAAAAGAAAGGAAAAATTATTGGAGTCCAAAGATGCTCTTTTCTCTTCATGTCTTGAAGTTCTGTTTATACTGAATCTACTAATTTAACCCCAATATAAAGGTGGAAAGAAAATCTTAGTAATAACACAAAACCTCAGCATTTTCTTTTAAACCATTTTCAATGAATTGGAAAATCTCTTGATTCAAGTGTCATGACTCATGTGATATGTTTAGACGAAGTTGTATGACAACAATATATGCATCATTGATCCTTTTCATTGGAAAGTTTTCAATATACAGGCTATAGTGTAATAATTCTACATGTTTCTAATCAACAGTAGAATGGCCCTGCGTTGACATTAACATAGTCTTCGTATTACTCACATACCTAAATAGGTGGATTTTTTTTTGTTGGGTTTATGAGATTCATCAAAATAGAACCTTTGGAGAAATGTTTGGAGATTTGACTATGTATGTATGGATTAACTAACACAGAGGAAGGGAGCTTGCTAACTAATACTCCGTCGGTTTCATTTATCATCCTGTTCGACTGGGCACGAAATATAAGGTAGATTTTTTAAATTTGTGGTCTTTAAATGTACCATAACATTTTTCGAGAATAGAAGTGGTTCGTTTTATTTCTATACGCAATTCAAGATTTCATATGTATTCATGTTGGCAATTTTTTATGTGACTTTGGTGGGTTGTCCCCCCTTCCTACGGGTTCTCCCACCAACCTAGTGACGCACCAACCACGCCCCTTCTCTTTCTCCAATCATAAAGCCTCCTGATCCCTTTATTTGTCTTTGATCCCCTAATTAAGTAAGAGCCCGCTCTTTCTAATTTTTTTTTTTTTAAAGAAAAAAAGGGGCGAAGCACCCGTTTGAAGTGGCAAAGGCCTATGCTACAGTAAGTAAGAAGAAAAAAAAGTAGGTTGAAGTTACAAAGTCACTTAGTTGAACTAGAAAACTATAAAGAAAGGGAAGCTAATGTTAGGAAGTAAGCTCAGTTGGTTAAGGGCTATGAAAGCTTCTCATTTTCAGGTAAAATGGGATGTTTAAATTAAATTATTTTCAGATTTAGAAATGAGTTATTCTTTTTAGAACATATTAAAAAAATAAGATCACATAAACTGAAATGAAATGAGTAACAAATGAAATTGTAAACTTGGCTCCACCCTCTCACCTTCCCCATTGCTCAGAGTAAAACGAAAGAGAATGAATATGAAAGAGGAAGCTTCCTTGAAAATTATTGCCAGATTCCTTTTCCTTTCCGGGCAGCTGAGGATACAATCTTTCAGCTTTATCTGCAGCAAGAAAACTTTGGAACAATGCTAAATTTACTGAAAAGATCTACTTATAACTGGTGTCTGCACAAGATAATAAATGTAATTATATTGCATCTCTTGCATATAAAATTTTGGTTATGTGATATGTATTCTCACTTTAGCCTACGAATCTTATGAGTAAATTGCTTGGTTTGTGTACAACTATTTTCTTTTTTTTTTAGTCGAGTTTATCCTGTGACATGTGGTAAAGTAACAGTTAATTTTACCCATGGTCATCAACTTTTGTGTTTGTTACCCAAAAATCACTTTTCTTGTTTTTGTTACGTAAAAAGCATTCAACTTTGACTTTTCTTTCTTTTGTTACACAAAAATCATTTTACTTTGCTCTAGTTTATCACAAAAGTCATATTTTTACTTGAAAAGTCTATTATGCCCTTGATATTAGGAAAAATGCACAAGTACCCCCCTGACCTATACCTGGATTCCCAACTACACACTTTTTCTTCACGGAAATCCTATTACCCCCTAAACTTATTTTAAATGGAATTATTTGCACCCTTAACGCTGATGTGGCAGAGTGTGTGTATTTCACTCTCCCAAAGGAGAGTGAGAAGAAGGAAAAAATGATTTTCAGATTATTTTTTATTTTCTTTACCATTTTTTCTTACTTTTTTTTTCCTCTTCCTTTTTCTTTGTCTTTTTTCTTTTACTTTTTTTTCGTTTCTTCTCTAATTCCGACGGATATTCATTCACCGGTGACTTTGTCTAACCGTTTTTCTTTCATTTTTTCTTTTCACACACAAATTAAACTCTCAAAAGGATCTATTCATAAGCAAAGCAAAATACACTCAGATTTGGGGGGGAAAATTCGTCATTGAAAAACCTTCTCACGCCGAAAAAAATGATGTATTGAAATTTTAACTGAAAAAAGTTTTCTCAGCTTATATTCGTTTTTATTTCTTTTGCTCTTCCTCCCACACATNCACATAAATTACACTTTCAAGAAACTTATATATATATATATATATATATATATATATATATATATATATATATATATATATATAATACACTTAGATCGGGATAAAAATCTGTCGCCGGAAAAAATGGTGTTTCTGAAATTCCGACGACCACAATTGTATGTTGCCGGTGACCAAAACAAAAAGAAAGAGAATGAAATAACAAAAAAATGATAATAATAAGAAATAAGAAAAAAGAATAAGAAAAAGAAGAAAGAATTAAAAAAGTACTAAAAATACATGTGGGGGCGCGTGTATCTCACCACTTGCCAAGAGTTTGGTTGTCAGCATTAAGGGTGCAAATAATTATATTTAAAATAAATTTAGGGGGTAATAGGATTTCCGCAAAGAAAAAGTGTGTAGTTGGGAATCCGGGTCTAGGTCACGGGGTACTTATGTATTTTTCCTTGATATTATATAAACCTTTATATTTATGGAATACCTTCTATATTATATACTATATAATGTATTTTTAACTATGTATTTTATTTATAAATAAAATAACTGAATATTATTTTATTTATTATTCTTATAATATATTCGTATATTTAATTTTTTTTCTTAACGTTGATTAATAAAATATATAGTTACAGATATATAAATATTATAGGCAAAATACATAGTTTACCTATCAAACTTGCACCGAAATCCCTGTTACACACCTTTTTTTTACGGGAAACTTCTTATACACTCAACCTTTTAAAAGCGTATCGAAAACACACCTTTTTTATTACGTGTCACTCGCGTGTTTTTCACACATAAGAGGCGAGTGGACATTAAAATTTCGTGTCTAAAGGCTCATTTTGACAGCACTTGTCCAGCCTTTTCATATTTTTATTTTTCTAAATCCTTTCCTTTATTTTTTAGAATCCACTATTATTTTCCATCTTTTTCCATTACTGCACCATCGCCTCTTACACTACCATACCATCAAATATTTTTGCAAAGATTTAGAGGAGGATAAAAAAAATCAGAGATTCATATTCAACATAGGAATCCTTGAATGACGCGCTGAGCTGCCACGGTGGCCAAATGCTGAAGGAAAAATTCATGAAGTTCTTCGTATGTGTGTTGTGAGATTTTGTGGGTTCTAATTGGGTCTGTGGAGTTTCTTTCATTTCAGCCATTGATGGATTGAGAATTTTGGGTTCTTGGGTTCTTTTTTGTTTTTAGTGTTGCTTGGTATAAGCAATTTTGGTACTCAAACTATATAATCGGTTGGTCAATTTGAAAGAGGGAAGATACAAATACAAAGGAATTTTATGGAAACTATTTAGTCAGTAGTGTGTTGACAGAGATTCAATATGTTATCCTAATAATTTGAAAATTAAAATTAAACTTTGGGTGGTGGGGGGAGGGGGGCAGCCATGGTGGTACAGCCTTGGGAAGATGAAGAAGATGGAAATAATTGTAAATTCAAGTTTTTTTGAAGTCAACAACACGTGTCACGATATTATTAGTGCGTGACTATACTTGACGAGAAAAAAGTGGTCCAGTACTGAAGAGGTGTGTTTTAGACACACTTTTAAAAGGTTGAGTAAATAAGAAGTTTCCCGTGAAAAAAAGGTGTGTAACAGGGATTTTGGTGCAAGTTTGATGTGTAAACTATGTATTTTGCCTATGTTATATAATATAGAAGGTATTACATAAATATGAAGGTTTATATAATATCAATGGCATAATAGACTTTTCAAGTAAAAATGTGACTTTTGTGATAACTAGAGCAAAGTAAAATGATTTTTGTGTACCAAAAGAAAAAAAAGTGACTTTTATGTAATGAACACAAAATTGAATGATTTTTACGTAACAAAAAAAAAGTTACTTTTGGGTAACAAACACAAAAATTTAATGACCATGGATAATATTATCTCGGTGAAGTAAGTAGGCAGCAAAAAAAATTCCATGAAAATCAAAAAGTTCACCAGCACCACAATGTAAAATCCATCAGAAAGATGATTTAAAAAAAAAAGATCCCAGGCTATAATTTCCTTTATCGAAAGCACATAACCTTTCAAAAATTTACATAAGGTGAATAGTTGTTGGACTTGGAGGAACATTATTATCTATTTTGTCATGAGACAGTACCAACTGCTGCTTGACCTCTTTCATGAACTCAGAATTACTCAAATTAACTTTGGCTGAAGAAGGGACTGAAGAAGCCAGTGTTGGTGTCATAAGCTGTGCATTCTTCACCTTTGAAATGCTTGCAAGAACCCCTAATGGTGTCACATCCCCGATAACCGTTACCTTCTTCGCAGCAAAATCTATGTTGAAAGATGTCACGCCTGCACGGTGCAAAAGATATTTGCACGATCAGATTGCTTATAAGGTAATTACAGGTAAAAGAACTATAGTCTACATGTCGCGCTAACACTGAGTTTGACATGCGCTATTGAAAGCATTAGTTCTTTAACATGTCGTCATGGTGGCTGTGGTGGTGGAAGGGAGGAGGTTTTAGTGGTGGAGAACAAGTGGAGAGGATGGGGTAAAATGGGCTGGGGGCGGTGACGTGTCATGAGATCTGATGTCCATCTCACCAAAATATCAGTGCCACGCGAAATTGGGTGTCCATCTTCAACAATCCTAACAGAGGAGAGGTATATCTGAACCATTTGGGTAATGACGAGGATACTTTTGTGTGGATAGTATAATGAAAGGTAAATTGATCCTTTTTGCATAGTAGAGGAGCAAATTTGGTCATTTTCTCTAAATTTATATTGACAGTGTATACAAGTTAAGAAAATGACGCTTCGAGAAAATGTCAAAGGGGGCATGTCAATGGTCCCCAACAAAGGAGAAAAAAGTTATCACAAAGTGCAGAGGTACACACCTTGCATTCTGGATATATGTTTCCTCATCTTCCTTTCACATCCTTTACAGTGCAGTGAAACTCTAAGAACAACCACCTGCAACAAATATTCATTACTCTGTCATAAAATTGCCTCTTTTGTCCTTTTTTGGACCACTTTCTACAACCAAACCAAAATACTTTTTGCGGCGACTAAAGGGATAGCCACGTAAATTTGTCTTCGATAACAGGATCTTTACACAAGTAGTCAGTCAGATTCACTATTTACTTTTCCTAGCCGGCATACATATACTATATACTTATATATCATACACTGATTCATTGTTTACTTTTTCTAGCCGGCATACATGTATTATATACTTATATATCGTACACCGAGTATATACAATTATATACATATTATATACATGGATTATACATATATTATACATCAGCCGGCTATTGTTAGTTTAAACAGTTAGGTGGACGGTTATTTAGGTTAATTCTTCGAAAACACTTTATGATTTGAAAGGAGAAGAGCAAGAAAAAACCTGATTAGCAGATGCAGAAGATGGTGGTGGTTTTGTAGGACAAGATTCATCTGTTTCTGTTTTCACAGCTTCCACAGAATTACTAGGAACCAACTTGAGAACAGGGTCAAAATCTGATAAAGCATCCAACAAATTACTTTTCTCACCCAAAAGATACCTAGAAGAACCAGGTGGTGTTATAAATTCACCAGGTTTTGTACACCTCCAGCTACTACTAGTTGTAGTCTTAATACTAATATTCTCATTTCCCTCAGCACTGCTCTTCCTTTTCTCATCATCCTTACTTATCAATGGCTTTCTTGAACCCTTTCTCTTGGTTTCTTTAGCCGGTTTCGAGGATGATTTTCGGTTCTTGTTCTGAGGTTTTGGTGAAATTGGTGAGTGAGCTGAGCAAGGAGCAGAGACGGATTTAGGACCCGTTCGTCGCGAATCCCTGATTATGGGGTTGTACCTGAAGAGAAGATTAAAAATGAATACTTTGACAGAATATTCATGTTGTATTGGTTACTAAAATGCATCACAGTTTATAAGACTTCCCGAAAAACTAAGAGATAAGGACAGTCCGGTGCACAAGGCATCACGCGTTCACGCAGGATTCAGGGAAGGGCCGGACTCTAAGGGGTATGATCTAGACAGTCTACCCTAATGCAAACATTAGTGTCTGCTTCCACGGCTCGAACCCGCGACCTATAGGTCACACGGACACAACTTTACCGTTGCTCCAAGGCTCCCCTTCGAAAAACTAAGAGATACTTAGAGTTTAAAAAATCATCTATTTTTACAAAGATACGTAGTACTATCATTTTTAAAGAAATAAATGCATTAATTCCAACAGTAGTACCGGTCAATAGCGCGGCTACTGGAAATGCTGCCGCCGCCGAGTTGGATAGTGGAAGAGGAAGCTGAAGAAGAAGAAGCTTCTTCCATACTAAGACATATTGCTGTTGCAGCTTGGGATGCACAGAATATATCTTTCATTTTTCAAGAAAGTTAATGAGTCTAGAAATGTAAGGATAATATATGGGAAGTAGTGGAATTTGAAGGCTAATTAATGGTTTAGAGAATCTGCATCAAAACTTTTGGTGAAAGCAAAAAAGAGTGAAGGAACTGTTTGAGAGAATGCTTTTATAATTGAAAGTGTTGAGATAGAAGGAGATAAGGAGTGTGAGTTGTTTACTATGGGAAGGAGAATTGAAGGAATTGATACTGCATATAGTAGTATTTTTACTGTTTTATATGTATTTAAGTTCACATGCTAACTTATGATACCAGCCTGGAGATAGATTCTTTTTCAACTTACTGAAATTTACTCTAACATTTTACTCCATTTTAGTTGGTGTATCGGCAGCTGAGAGACAAAGCATCCCGCATTCATGGGGTCCACAAAAGGGTCGCACCCATGGGCGGAGCTAGAGTGCCGAGAGCGAGTTCGGCCGAATCCAGTAGTTTTGGTTCGAATCCTGTATTTGTCTTAAAAAATTCATTGAATATGTATAAATTATTAATTTAGAACCCAGTAACTTAAGGCGATTAAAATCTCGAACCCATAAGCTTGAAATCCTGACTCCGCCTCTGATCGCACCCAAAGGGTGTGTCATGACTTCTAATAATTTTTTGAACTTCAAAAGTTAGTTAAGTATTGCGATAAAAATTTGCGTTTATTAATAAAGGAAAAACAACAACAACAACAACTACCCAGTATAATCCCACCAAGTGGGGTCTGGGGAGGGTAGGATGTACGCAGTCTTACCCCTACTCTTCCAGGGTAGGGAGACTGTTTCCGAATGACCCTCGGCAAAAGAGAAAAGGGTGCAAATTTTCTCACCTAAAGGAAATATGTGAAATTATCCTCCATTATATTTTCGGGTATTCCTACCCTTGTCGTTAGTGAAATATCTTGTATTTTTTCTTAACCCTAGTAGAGTATATAGCAAAATGATAATAAATCGTAGTCAAAAGTAGAGGGATAGATTCGGACTTTTTCCAAAATGCTTTGACACATGGAATTCATAAATATACAATACCTATGTGAATGAGGAATAAGTACTTGCACAGATTAAAAATTACTCTCTCCTATCCATAATAAATGACCAATTTGCTTTTGGCATGCCTATTAAGAAAATACTAGATTCTTTACAAAAATACCTAATATGACTAAACTACCCTTAATTAAATATTTCATGTGAGGAGTAAGAAAACTTTTTAGGGATATGTAAATAAAGATAATTTTATAAAAACAAATTGAATTCTTTCTTGATTATATAAATGGACACTTATTTTGGACAAAATAAAAAGCAAATTGATCACTTGTGAACCGGAGGGAGTAAAAATTAAGTAACAATATTGGTGAATTGTGATTAAATACCCATATTTAATAAGTTAAAGTTGAAGGAGTGACACTCGTGGACTGGGTTTTCTGAAAGATTCAGTGACAGTTTCCTAAGAGTGCGCTTCTGCCTCATTTATCTAAACATTTTATTATTTTATGTTATTAGACTTCTTTTTTGATACAATACATAAACAGTAAAAATTTATTTGCACGGAGTGTTTATATCAAATCATACTAATTTACAATAGTTAAGTGATAAATTAAGGGAGATAATGTGTACTATTTAAATATAATTTAGTGATAAGTACTTATTCAATGATATAAACAACCGGTGCAAATAAGTTTTTACGGCTAGAAATACCGAGTTGTTAAAAGTAAAAAATTAAATGATACTCTAGGGATGGCCTACATAGAATGAGACACTGCAACGGCTAAATAATCTGTAGACACTCAATTTTTTTCTTCTTAGCATGCAATTCAAAGTTCAGATTTCATGTGCAGTTGTTCACTTATTATGATACAAAAAAACAGAAACTTTTTGTTTCATTCTATTCATGGGGTTTTAACAAACTGCCAAGCTAAATAAATTTACTTCATTTATTTTTTTTAATTACTCGATATTCCAAATTCAATATTCATTTTCAGACATATGAGTTACAATTTTTGGTGTTGTGTTCTACATTGATCCAAAGATATAAGATATGGTTAGTATTAATTTAGAAGGCGGAGGCGTAAGACGAAACATGTTACTCCCTATGTTTCGATTTAGATGGTACATTTCGATTATTGAGAGTCAATTTAACTAAACTTCGAAGCTAAATTGGATTAGCTTAACTCAATATTTTAAAATTAAAATTTAGTTATTCAAAAACTGTACGAGAAGTACTATAAGTTGCAGTTTTTCTCATGTTAATATGATAAAAAAAATATTTTAAAATGTTGGTCAAACTTTATACAGTTTGACTCTCGATAAACGAAATATGTCATCTAATTTGAAACTGATAGAGTGCTTATTATGAGATATAAATCTTCTTCTTTTAAAAATTTGCAGAAACAACAATAACAAACCCAGTGTAATTTCACAAGTGAGGTCTGGAGAGGGTAGTGTGTATTAGAACTAATACATTCAATTGAACCATCTTGGTTTAACTAATTGAAGGCTCATTGCCACAATTTTGCAATAATGATTTTTCCAAGCATTTACTTCTCTGACTGTATATTGCAACAATTACCGCGCTTTGCATATTGCAGGCCAAACTAAGGTAACTTCTATGAGCAGTGGGCAGATTTAGGATTTTAATTTGATCGATAAATTTATAAGATTTTTAATAATGACAGAGTCAGGAATTAAATAAATTAAGAAGCTAAACAAATTCAACATAGTATATAATTTTTCGAAGAAGGAATGCCCCTTGATTAAAGGTGGCTCCACATTGGTTCTTAGCACTAAACTCATTGTAATCCTAAATCTTAACTGTGTTGTTAGATAAAAATTCTTTTATCTAACTACACAGTTTAATTTTTCGACAATGAGGTGCCCCCTCAATTAATTATGGCTCCGCACTAATTCTTAGCACTAAACTCATTACACTTCTCAAATTATGAGTTCAGATCTAAACTGAATGCACCTCGAGATAGATGGTTTCACTATTTGTGACACATTGAATCTGCATGAATTAATTAGGGGAAAAACAGCAAATATAAAGTTCAGTCAATCGTAGGCTTGCACAGGGGCAAGGCTAGGGTGGTGGAAGGGAATCTTCCCTTCGCCAAAAATTTTATTGTATGCATAAGATCAATTTTTTTATGCATGGCATGTTCGTGTGTTTACTTTTTAATATTTCGAATTCCCTTGGTAAAAATTCTAGTTGAGTTCGTAGGTAAAAAGTGTTTAATCAAATACCAAAAAGAAACATTTTTCTGGTGGAAGTTGGCGGTCCAATAAGTTGTAATGAGAAAGGAGAAAACTTTGATATAGTTGAAGAATAAGAATATAGGAACCATATTCGTATTCTAAAAGAACCATATGCCTCTCTCCATTTGCAAATGCGTTTGGCATTTTTCTTTTACAGAATCAGATGCCTTTCATAAACATAACACACAAAGTCTCTTTTCCTTTTCTTCTTCTCTTCTTCCTTTTTTTTTCTCTTTACATTCCTTGAAAACACACTACGAAAAACATCTAAAAATATCCTACACTTGGACATGGTACCTACCAGCATTTTAGCCCTCAACTTTTTTTATGAACCTTTATTCATATACTTTATATCTACGTTTATTAATTAAAAAAAAAAAAGAGCAAAAATATCTTATTTTGTTTCCTACCAGGTGTCCGACACGCCGTTTGGAACCGACTAATGCCAAAAACTCTCACTTTGCCAATAAAGTGCTCCTTATATTGTGCTTTTACAGATATACAGTCAGACCTATCTATAACAGCATTCCCAAATAACAATCATTTACTATAAAAGCCAAGTTTGTTCGGAACCGATTATTATGTTATGTTATAATGTATGTCCTCTATAACAAGACTTCACTAAAGCAGCCAAAAAATATCGGAACAAACGAGGCTGTTATAGAGAGATTTGATTGTACCACTTACTGCCACGTGTTGCTCACAGATTTGTTCTCAAGTGCATTTTCTCTTATAAAAAATTGCTTCTGGTATCAACATAGTGCCAGAGGATTTTAAATTTGACTATAGTAAGATAAACTATCAGTGAATCTCATGACAGTTCCAACTTCCAACACGGTGAAAATTGTTGTGGCAATCTCAGTAACCAGAAGGTACTAAAACCTCATAAGTATCTCAAGGACTACATACTATAATAGGCAATGGCAGAACCAAATATATTTATATAAGGGGATTCAAAAATATTCTAGAATGTTACATTGGAAATTTTCTTCATGTCGAGGATCGAAATTCGGAGAGTGAAGAGAAAAACCCTCTTTTAAAGTCTTGAGTACTGCTCTTCTCTTAATCGCTCTTTGGTATTCAGAAGTGGAAAGCGAAAGGGGATTCAACAACTCACTCTATTAACATTATGTAATTTTCCCACGAAGGGTGATCGGCCCTTCACTCTACATAGTTCCGCCCATGATAATAGGTAGATGCACCTATATACTCTCTGATTTTCAGTTATTTTGGTAAGAATTTAGCAAGTTTTTCACATGCACAAGGCCACTTAAGTTAACTTCAACAATCTGCGGGAGAAATGCATTTGCTTTGTTATTAACTGAAGCCAGAGAGTACATAGGTGCATCATTCAAAGTGGCTCCACATTATAGTACAAAACAAAAAAGTTCAAAACAGTACCTACAACAATTAAATGCAAAATCAGGAGAACCACACAGAGTAAAAGACCATATTACTTGTTAAAACCAATGCCTAGCAACAAATGGTATTAACTGAAGCCAAAAGCTCAAAATTTCCTCCCTGCAGAATCTGAACATTGTCTGAATTACATTATGTGGATTAGAAAAAGAAATCAAAAAGGAAAACTGAATACACGAAGCATCTGCCTATGGTCGTGGCTTATGTCTGTGCATTCAAGTAGCTACTATTGCGATATTGATACAAAAATGAAGAGGGAAAGAATGAATGAATATCAACTTCATATATTAGCAAAAACAACAATTAAACAATACTAAGCTTGGTCTATACAACCTAATGTTGCTCGTATTCTTGTTAGTTTCCTTTCCCTTCATCTTCATTTAGGATGCGATTGCGAAAATCATTGACCATGAGAGGCAGCCCCTCGCGCAAGGGTACTTTAGGCTCCCAGTTTAGTAGTTCCTTTGCTTTGCTGATATCTGGTTTCCTCTTGTGAGGATCATCAGCTGTGTTAGCTCTGAATTCAATAGTAGCACTTGGATCAATCACTTCTTTGACCACCTGCATTCCCAAGAAAAATGACTTAGCGGTCGGTTGGTAGGGAATATAAGAATAGTACTGAATAGAGTGTATTAGTAATGCTGGGGTTATTTCTTATCGATGGTTTGGTTTGGTGTATTAAAAATAACAAACACTGCATAATTTTTTTTAAAACTGTTTGTTTACAAAAATACCTTCTACATTCTTTGGAAAGGACTTGGAAAATGTTTTGAAAGGGCAACTATGTCTTAATATGCTTATCTATGTATTAAAAACCATGGTATTGCTTATGCCATGGTTTGTTATGTATAAGAATAGTACTCCCTCCAGTCCATAATAAGTGACCTTTTGGCCTTTTTATTTTGATCCAAAATAAGTATTCTTTTACATAATCGAAAAGGAATTAACTTTATTTTTCCAAAATTTGCACTTATTTACATATCACAATGTGTCAAGTTAACAATATGCAAATTTTAATTAACGGTAATTTAGTTAAAATATCTTTTTTTCTCTAGGAGTTAGTATTTTCTTAAGGGGTGTGCCAAAGAAAGGACAAAAAGTCACTTATTATGGACCGGAGGGAGTAGTACTGAATAGAGTGTATAACTAATACAGGTATTAGTTATACATAAGTTGAAAAACACTACCAAACAAGGGATTAATAATACTAAAGCTAATACATGTATTATTTTCCCTAATACATCCAACCAAATGACCCCTTAGAGTTATTTGATAACATGACTCACAGTTATCAACTCACAGTTGAACCAGGTAATTTCTTAGACATTAGATACATTTTGTAGTCAAAAACGTAGTGCATTAAATACCACTTCACACGGACTGGACTTATTCACTGAAAACCGAAAATGGTGGATATAACACTGTATGTCCAGTCAACCATAAGTTTATACTGACAAGTGACAAGACAATAATGTACTACGCTTTTTAACATAATTATGATTTATTTCTAATATTGAAGACCTACTTCCACTAAGCATGGATAAGATTAGACGCCCGATCAACTATAACTATGAATCAGTGTTCTATACTCTTTTACAGCACTATTGGTTTTCTTATATAAAAGACCTGTTTCTCTATAAGCATATAATGAATAGTAAAATTACACATTACTCCCTTCATCCTAATTTACATGACAGTTTCCATATAGGCACACCTCAAAATGCTTGACCCTGTTCAACCACTATACATTTTCACAAAGTTTGAAGAATTCAAATTCTTTAAAATAAATAAATCATAACTCTAAAGTGATGGTTTCACCATCAAACTGATTTTCAGCCATTACTTCGATATCTTCTTCGCGTACCACAAATACAATTTTTGTCAAATTTAACATTTTAAGCTCCGCGTCTAGTCAAATACCGTCAAATAAAAGGGGACTAAAGAGTGCTATTGATATCAAAGGAGCCAATAATAAAATATAAACACACGGTATAATTTCGAGATAAACCAATGTTATAGCAAAACAATAACTATAAAGGAACACAAATTTATCCGGATCAGATAGTGCAGATTTAATATTTTGACGCTAGAAAATGTTCAGTGAGTCTTCAAACAACAATTTATGGTTGTATCAAATAGCCACATACAAAAACAAAAGGCGAATTTTATCTGTAATAAAAAATATAAAACTGCAATCCATTGAGCAAAAATGATAAAATGACAGCAAAAGAAGAAAAAACATGCAAACTCAACAAGCAACAATTAATAAATAGCCCGTAGAAGAAGCGCGAGAACTACTTGTGAACAGGCAGATATGCATCACAGCAGATATCATGGCTTACCTCGGCAAGCTCTAACATGGTAAACTCTCCTGGGTTTCCCAAGTTGAAAGGGCCAATGTGCTCACCCTCCATTAAGGCCATTAATCCATCAACCTTTAATCAACAGAAAGTTATTTATCTTAATATCATTGTTTGCATTCCAACCGAATGATAGACTGTTAAGAATTTTTCAACTATGCATAAGTAAAAAGCAAGCTGGCGCATTTGGACTTTTGAATTGGACAAAATTTCCACGACAAATCAATGAATTTGCAAGATATTTACAAAAAATGAGATGTAAAATAATCGGATAATGCACCTGTAAAAAGCTTGCATGCACAAACATGTATGCATTTATAAGTAAGAAATGTTCCGAATACTAGATGGTTATACCAAAACAATGTTCCTTGTTTCTTCTAAACCAGCTCCTAACAGGAAAATGGCAACAATGACCACTAACTAATCTAGACTTTGTAGACCAGGCAAATGTCCATGCTCTTTTAGTTTGGCAAGAACATAATATTCCACTGTTAGCATCTCCTATGTGAGATTGTCTACCAACCTTGAACCCTTGACCTAGTAGTTTGGAGAGAACTCCGCCAACCACTATGAACAAGGATGGCCGGTGATAGCATCTCATATGTGTATCATTAGTGGCGAAAGTAGTGTTAAAGTGACGGGTCAATTGAACCCATAACTTTCAATGCAGAGTATAATTAATATATAAAAATTCATTAAATTTGCAAAAAATAGTAGATATGAACCCATAACTTTAAAAATATAATGGGTTCAATACTAAATATCTTAAACATTGAACCCATAAAGTTTAAATCATGGATCTGCCTCGTGTATCATTAGACAAGTCATTGTGTTAACAGAAGGCCAATATATTAAGGAATCCTTCACAAGGTATTCCGTTTAGCAACTAATCGATTTGTACTTTCTCAGCCAACCGCATAGCAAAGCATTTTAGTCTTCTAGAGCATTGTTTCATTTCTAAAGCTTCTTTCCAGACATACTACAACTTGGAAATATAGCCACATTAGAAAGTTGCACTTGTCAGGTGAAATATCTAGTGCACGCAAACTTATGGTCTGCAAAGTGATTCTCACTGGATTTCGTTGGCCAAATGCATAGACGACCCCCTGAAATTGTCCGAATATTTCATCTAGCCATCTACATTAAACCTATGATTACTTGAACAACCAACCTCTACTTTAATTGTGTCACTTAAACACGTCTTGCTGACATGGCACTTAGTGTGAGCCCCACAAATGTTGAGCGCGTGGATGTTAAAAAAAAGTGCTCAATGGACTAACAGTAAGAAATAGACTCCCTCCCTCATTCGATAGGTGATCCCCCTCATTTTCTTCTCCCCCCAAACTCATTTTCTGCCATTTTTTCTGACCATAGGTTCAGACGCGACAGAAATCTTTATACTCATATCCAATACATCCAAAATCATGAATTATAGCTATTCCCAGATTCCGGACTAAGTTAACTGATTGGATTTAAAATCAGGGGAATGATAAAATTGTGGCTACCGGCCACAGCTAAATGATATGTTTTGATAACCCCTCTATTCTTATCTAAACAATTGAACCCATAAAGTTTAAATCCAAGCATTTCCATGACACCATTTAGTCTCTTAAAATTTTAATGAAAGCAATATCTTCTTTTAATTCAGGTTGGATTCTCTGAATCCAGCTACAAAGCATTCCCTCGGTGATGCTAAGCAGCATATAATCACAACTCAGGAGCTTCCCACCGTAAGATTCTTGGAGAAGATTTCTTCATTAAAAAAAAAGATTCTTGGAGTAGATCTTTTTTTTTCTTTTCTAAAGAAGCTAGACAGTCCAGTAAAAAAATGATGGTAGATAGATGTCATCACTCTGTAATAGAAAAGCAAATATCTTTGAGTAAAATCATGTACTTCTTTGACCATCACTGTGCTCACCATAAGATTCTTGGAGAAGAATTTTTTTAATTTTTAAAAAAAGAGGCAAGACGCTCGAGTAAAAACCATGATATTACATAGATGTTATCAGTCTATAATATAAAAGCAAAGTTCTTTGAGTAAAACCGTGTACTTCCCCCATCCGATTTTTGTTTGACCTACTTTTCATTTTTAGTCAGAGGTGTAAAGATTTGCATCTTTCCCAATTGGAGAAAATGTCAAAGGCTCAAAATGTCAAACTTAAATATAATAACATTGTGTTATATCATATTGCATAAGAGGAGACACCTTTACACTTTCCATATCTTCAACTAATATTGGATTATGCAAGCTCAAACCTAATAGCTTGTTCAAACTTTATCCACTTAATATCTGCTAGCCAAACTAGGTAGGTCACTAAGGGCGCAGTATCCTCCAAAAAATGGTAAAATATTTTGTCCACTAAATTAAGCAAGTTAAAGAAGAGGGCATATGTCACGACCCAAGTTCATGTCACAAACTGTCCGCCTTGTCCCAACAGACCCCACGGATTTGTCCCTTTGGGCTATACCATCTTCGAGCCCAAGCGCGCGTACCATGTGAACGTGTGCTATACCTTATAAAGCTCTTCACTTTCCTCTCCCATTCCAATGTGGGGTTCGCCTAAGGTGACATGTGCACCCCTTCTTCAGAAGCTTGCTAGCCTAGAAGGAGCTTGACCCCTCCTCGGCAGCCCATCCTCCGTCATGGGGCATTCACAGCACATAAACCTATTTGCTGCCAGATTTAGAACTTCACCTTACAAGCTCTTTTGCAACATAAAATAATCGAATGTTGCTTAAAGTAAAAAATAATTGGCTCAACTAGGAAGAAATGTCGATATTGGCTACAACATACATCATTTTTTAATTTTTTGGAATGATTTACATTTCCAAGAGATTAAATCAAGTTTTGCTACCACAACTACCACCGGTGGTTGACCTAATTCAGCAATTACCCACCTACTACTTCCCCACCTTTCAGTCTTTGTTTAACTAATATAATCTACCACAAGCATGTACCCATCTAGCATCCTTCTATATGCACTGAAGATAACGATGGCATACTAGGGCAGCGACATAAAAATGGAAAGATAGCTAGTTAAAATGACATACCAAATCAGATACATACTGAAAGCTTCGTGTCTGCTTCCCATCACCATAGACTGTCATTGGTTGCCTGCGGATGGCCTGCAAACATGGTTTTTAGAAAGAGATTTACAAATTCGGTTTACAGCACTGGTTTTAGTATAAGCTGAGATGGCAAACCTGGGAAACAAAGTTGCTGACAACACGTCCATCATCGAGACACATGCGAGGTCCATATGTGTTGAAAATTCGGGCAATACGCACCTGCATATGAATATTACAGGTTATGAACTCTGGATCATCTATGAAATATGATATCAATTACTGCTTATATTCTCTTTTTGGTGTGGCAAGCCATAAAGTTGGAAGAGATAGAGTTAAATGCCATGTCATAAATAGAAAACTGATTAGGATAGATTCTTAAAGTAGAAAGAGTACAACTGGAACTAGAAATAGCCTCCCTGTTATTGCCTATACTCCATACTCTTTCATGATCATAGTAAAGAAGAGTTTTTTCAAGGTTTCACAATATAGAACTGCAAAAATTATTTTTCATGACTTAAAATACAAGCAGCTTCCAAAATTTATGAATAGAAGAATTGTTCACTTATTGCTTCAACCAGAGGAGCTGTTTGACCACCAAACTAAGTATTCATTTCACATAGAAGGCTAAAGCCTTCAGAATGGAAAGCTCATTCAAATGCACACGAGCATTCAGCACATCACATGCAGTACTAAGAAACACAAATCTTTCATTACCTCAACACCTGCACCACGATGGTAATCCATAGTCAAGGTTTCAGCAGTTCGTTTCCCCTCATCATAGCAGCTCCTAACACCTAGATATTTCAAGACGCTCAAATGTCACTATAAACCATCAGACATACTACCTTACCAAAGAAAAACCACAAAAAATTATTGAGGCTGCTGCGCACCTATTGGATTCACATGTCCCCAATATGTTTCTTTTTGTGGATGCTCAAGTGGATCACCATAAACCTCACTTGTACTAGTAAGCAAGAACCTCGCACCAATTCTCTTGGCAAGTCCCAACATGTTAAGAGTACCCATCACATTTGTCTTGTAATCATAGTTAAGGATCTCAAATCATCAAATAAAATAAAATAACAAAATACCAATTACACATGCACGAAATTCCTTAACATGTTAATCAGTGCAAAGAAAGAATTTTTTTCACTATCAGGCTACTTAAAAAGCCAAATTGATGGTCAAGCATTCTTCTTAAAAGCCAAACTATAGCAAAATTTCTATGATAAGCATGGATTAGCAACCTGCAGCATGTTAAGATTACCCATCACATGTGTCTTGTAATCACAGTTAAAGATCTCCAATACATGTCTCAGGTTCGAATCCCAGCTGAGGCAAAAATACTAGATAGTTTCTTTTCATCTGCCAAATCCTTGGTGGGCAAAGTTACCTATTACATGTGCTAGTAGGAGGTAGCAGGTAGCAAGTATCTAGTGGAATTAGTCGATTTGCACCCAAGCTGACCCAGACACCACCATCACAAAAAAGATCTTAAATACATCTGAATTGAAGAAGGTAATAGAATGCCAATCACATATGTATAAAATTCCTTAACATGTTAACAATTACTTACCAAGTTTAACTTTTATGCATTTACCGTACAAAAGAACGTCTACACTACCATGCTACTTAAAAGCCAATTACACGCCAAATATATGTAACTTTCTATAACAAGCATGGATTCCTAACCTACAAAAGATGGTAATTGACGTGTTACTTCCCGTAAACTACATTGATAGTGTAAAAATCTTTTCAACTGTCTGTGTACACAATTCAAATCCCCATAATTAACACGCGTAAAGAATAAACAAAATAATGATGTGGAAAAGGATATAATAGTTTTGACAGGATTATACTTGTAATGAACAGGAGAAGCAGGGCAAGCCAAATGGTAGATCTGATCCACTTCTAACAAAATAGGCTCAACAACATCATGCCTAATTAACTCAAACCTATGATTTCCAAAATGATGCATCACATTTTCTTTCCTCCCAGTAAAAAAATTATCAATTACAATAACGTCATCACCTCGTTTAATTAACTTATCAACCAAATGACTCCCTACAAAACCGGCCCCACCAGTCACTACAATCCGCATGCGTTTTTTCCCTATCCCAACTGGGACCCGCCCTGTCTTAAACGACGTCGTAACGGTTGATGTGTGGGTTAAGGGCACGGATTCGGAAACGTGAAATGATGAATTGGGGATTGGAGAAGATGGATTTAGGTTGGGCTGGAGAATGAAAAATGTAGAGCCAATGAGAATGCCAACTAAGATGAAGAGAAGGCGTTGTTCTTTAAGGAGATAATTAATGGATCTAGGTAGAGATCTGGGGTGTTTGAGAGGCTTTGGGGAAGAAGGTGGGGTTGTGTTTTTTGATATTGACATTGACATTTCTTCATCTCTTCTGTGATTCATACTTGATTGCGTGTGCAATTTCATGGCTTTTTGTTCTTCTTATATTAGGTGAGAAATTTTCAGGTTTTTGGCTGAAAGATTGGGGATGTGAAAGTGGATTGAGAGTGTTTATGGAATTGGAATGTTTCAGGTAGAAGCAGAGTTGGTTGTTTTCAGAGACAGAAATGGCAGCTTCAAAGTCTATAATGGTTGAGCGGTTGCATTTTTCTTACGGAAAGGGACGTTTATAAGCTTTAACTAAATATATACTGGCCTATACAAGACCAATTTCCCTAATTTATTGACCAAAAAAAAAATTCCCTAATTTTTATAAGAATTAGCCCAAATAGTCCCTCGCCTAATTTCTTAAACTAAAAATAATCGGCGAATATATAATACATATAATTTATATAGCCGATCAAATTTAATATTTACTTATTCTAGCCAGTATACAATGATTATACGTAAATTATACATATATTGTACGTTCTATATATATATATATATATATACACATACATGACCACTCGCTTTGGACAAGATGCCATAGTATAAGAAGAAAGCCTTTGTTTGCATAGATTACTTTCCCGTTTTCCTTTGTGAGCGAGGTTTGTGCACGTGAAATAACAGTCAAAGTATAAGGAAGATGGCATAGAGCATAGTATGAGATTGATGCTTCGAATGCCCAGTTTTCAGGGGTTGTGATAGAAAGAGCTGTGGCACTTTCGGAGGGGAAAGCAGACTAGGTTGTCATTATTCTAGAAGAGGAAGTGTAGCTGGCACGTTGAACCATGTTTGTCAACGGTGAAAGGTAGCCCTAAAGTGAGGGCCCCGGAGATAGTATTTCTCAAATGTCGATCGACGTGACAATCATGCCTGCTTGACAAAGCCTTTTTCATTCAGTCTCCCAATAAACGAAAAAGGATTTCTGGTGACACGAAAGCTATGCTCGACGCTCTCTTTCCTATTTCAGTGCGCTAAGTGGTCTTTCCCTTTCTTGCTGGATGACTACTATGTAAAAAGATGACGACTATTCACAGACTCTGGTCTAAGTCACGTCAGTGCAGGCGCATCGTAGCGTCATGGTAGCGTTAGCTATGCTCGACTAACATGATGAGTCATGTGATTGACCTGACATTTTATTAAGATGAATTTCAAGCTGCTGAACCGACAACGTATTTTTCTGCTTGTTTTGGAAACTTGAAACGACAGACAAGTGGTGACGATAAGACAGCCTTGATATTGAGCTTCTTGTCTTCCATCTTTCTTTATCGTGGGGTCCGCGCAACATGAACAAGAGCGTTTCCTCTTTTTTTTCTTTGCTACTATGAGACCGGAAATCAATGCTTTCGCGCGAAGTCCTTGTCACTGTGGAAAACTGGTACTTTTCTATAGTTGATCAAGGCTACTTGAACTTTCAAACCTGTTCAGGTCTTGGAATCAGATTAGGAGCAGCTATTGAATCTGGTAATGGCGGTATGATAATGCCAGTCGAACGGGTAAGACTTTGGTCAGGCAATTGTTGCAGTTTCTCATTCCGCAGATCATCCAATCCTTCTTCTTGGTCCTTTTAGAGGGCTTTCGGATAGTTCAGTGCTGGCTATCGGTTAAGGAAGTATATGCCTCTAACTCATCTCATTCCCTATATGGTAATGGTAGGTATGCCGGTACCCCTTTTTGGTTCAACCAAGGTAGGCTGCCATGCGGAGTGAAGGTAACTAGTCAGTTCCTCAAGGTCTAGTAAGCTAAGGTGGTAGTACATACAAGGTTAATTCACTCTGGGATTGGTAGTCCCGTCTGCTCTAACGTCGGAATAATAATTATAATACGATGATAACACCTGATTAGCAAGAAATTCCATGCTCTCCTCTTAGCAATGATCTGTCTATGGCTACTTTTAAAACTGCAGATTCTGTAATAAGACCCTATTCATGGGCATTCTCCGACTTAGAATCGAATTCATACCCAACAATCTACGGTCTACCTTGGGCCTTAGTTTATGTTGAATAGGCATACCCGATTTCCAGCTAATTGTCAAATAAAGCTATATGTGCTTAAACTCTTAGCTTGAAAGCATTCTTTGAAGCAAAAATTTCGGTAAATCAAGCCTGCGTAAAATACTTGACTTTTTCATGTGCAAGACCACAAAAAGTATTCCTCCCTAAAGCTCAGCTCTGCGAAGGCCTTTTGGAGATTGACCTTTCTTTCTTTTCTTCCCGGTCCGGTCGGTCGAGCTCTCGTAATCGATTGCTCATATGTCCATTTCGTTCTAGCTAGTGAAGTCGGGATATTCTACATTTAATGATAAATAGTAAAGTTATGAACTCAAGCTAGCAAAAAATAAGACTGAGGTCGATAGGGGCATTACTGGTAATTGCTAAGGTGTTTTTTGAAATCTTAACCATTGGCTAGCGCTCATCTCCAGCTCTGTTTCCAACCTTTCATTTAATATATCATTCTCGTATGCAATACCTCTTATTTAATCTTGCTATACATCCAAGCCTTCTCCCATCGGTAGTTGGAAGCATTTATATGATATATCCGTCCGCTATTTTTAGTTTAAGAGATTAAGTGAACAGCTATTTGGATCTGTGTATAATTAATGTATACCCGCTAGAAAAAGTAAACCGTAAATTTGGCTGGGTATTTGTATAATAATCCCTTTTTTTTTAGTGGCATGGTGTGCTCGTCTTGGGTTCATTTCGATTATTTCACCAAGTAAACGTATACTATCCCTAGTTCAGATAGCGAGTAGTTTTGTTTGCTAAGGCTTGGACAGAAAAAAATTATTTTATGTTTTCTTTTGTGCTAGATTCGAAAATAAGACTTTATGGTATCCTTCTTGCTTTATTGACCAATAAGCTATACCGTAAATTTAAAGTGTTTTAAAGAACTTTTCAGATGCTTTTTAGAAGCTAAACTTTTAGAAAACTCTTTCCAAAAACTGTCCGAAAATTAAATTCAAAAAATTAGAGGGTATTGTGTTGTAGCTCAAAAAAAATGAAGGGGTAAAGTAGAATTTTTCATTTTATACAATACTTTTTGGTGATTTTTTCAATTTTATTGAGATGTGTTATGATCCACAATAGTTTAGGGCCGTTTAGAGAATTCAATAGTGATTATTTCATTTTGCCCGATAATATTTAAGGTTAAGAACTTTTATCCTTATTTAAAAGTTCAAAGTGATTAAGTGCAATTTGTTCTTTCACTTTTACCGAAGAAAAAACTTTCATAAAGATCTTCTTTTTTTTTAAGTATCTAGAGAAACCTCTATGTTGCCCTACCTTTCAAGTCTCAAGCAACTTGGCATTTTAATAATCACTTTTTACATGCAATATAATATATAAGACGAATTCATGATTTGAATTTTATTTTAGCACATTCTACTAAATTTACCAAATTCAAAATCTATTATTTGTCCTTATTCAAAATCACCTTATCCCTTTATCCGGTTATTATTAATATTTGTTGTGTCTTTCTTTTAAATTTTCTTTGGCCGAAGGTCTATCGAGAACAACCCTCTACCTTCACAAAAGTCGGGATAAGGTACAGTGGCAGAACCACATGGAACAAAGGGGTGTCAAGTGACACCCCCTTCGCCGGAAAATTACACTATATTGCTAGATTAATTTTTTTATTTTATGTATATTTACTATACGTTGACTCCCCTTGACTTTTCAATGTATCTAATTGTTTATATTTTGACACCCCTTGATGAAAATTCTGGCTCCGTCCCAAGTAAGGTATGCGTATATTCTACCCTCCTCAGATGCTACTTTGTGAGATTACAGTGGGTGTATTGTTGTTGTTATTGTTGTATAGAATTCGAGCAAAAACGATTGAGTTCGAATAAACCCGTTGTTATATATTTGTATTGTTGTAAGTAAATAAAACAGTAATCTTTCTGAAAAATAAAACAGAAAGTTAGTAGAAACAATTCTGAAAAATAATATTCGAACTTCAAAATAATTTTTGAAACGTTGAAGGAACAAATCAAGCCCACTGAATACACAGTGTGTCCTTAAGGAAATTATTCCCCTCAAGTACTAGAGGTTATGGAATATGTCCTCCCAGGATAGAACGATTTAACTCACCGGAGTGTTGGTACCAAAAACGCCGATGATCAGCGAATCACTCGATGGCAGCAAAACACACTGAAATTTTAGTGCAGAAGAAGGAGAAGATAATCAGAAAATTTCGTAAGTAAATATTCTGGGATTTGAAGGTCTATTTATAGCCAACTTGGTGATGTTTCTGAAGAGGTTTGCAACCTTTCAGAATAGTCATGACTGTTGGAACAGGTGTGACCCTCTGAAGAGGTTTGCAACCTTTCAGAACAGTCATGACTGTTGGAACAGGTGTGACTCTCTGAAGAGGTTTGCAACTTTTCAGAATAGTCATGGCTGTTGGAACAGGTGTGACACTGTTTCAGAACAGCCATGGCTGTTGGAAATTTTTGCGGAAAATTTAAAACGAATTTAAATTAATCCGGGAAAGAAAAACGGGTTAGACCAGACCGGATCGCGGGTCATCCCTCCATTTCTTTTCCCATCATTTTTCATTCACACCTCTTTTGTTATTATTTATTAAATAACAAACCCAACAATCCCCTACATGAATGGGGAATGGCTATAAACTTAAAGGAATGCACGGACGTGTGTGTGTGTTTTACAAACAAGAATTGATTGCATCTGGATAAGTAGGTTTCCCTTTGAACTTTCCGTAGTGAACTTATATCGGATATACTCGGTCAATCGGTAGATTTGATATCTTTGAACCGTCGAGCTTTGTTGTATACCTAGACAACATAAGTCACACAATCAATCCTTAACCATCTATGGTTCTCACGGTTGTGTTCGTTTCAGCCATGAACACCGCCTAGTTTCATGAGTGCTTAGAGAATGGGCCTTTACTTTCATTCTCCTTGAAGCGGCTTACACTTCACACTCACATAGGTGATTCCTAAACGTATAATCCTAAAGACACACTATCTGGTCATATCCTGCCAAACTTAGCAAATTATTAAAAAGCTTTAAGCTTTATTGACTCATCAAAAAAGCCTTAATGCTTTACCTCGTTTTTGAACATTGTCTTCATCACGAGAATGGGTTGAGTTAGTTGACAATGTTGAACCGTCATTCATAACTTTGTTTGATCTCTTTGAACCTAGCTCTTGGGATCTCCAGTCTGCTAGGTAGAGTTACCGCCATGATGACTTGTCCTGGGCCTTTAACCCAATTCCCTTT